TATATAAAAATTTATTTTATTTATTGTTTAATCAGGCTATTTATTATGGCTAAATGTAAAGGCATGCTTTAAGGAGGAAGAGAAACAGACCTATGAAATGGAGAATTGGCATCCCACAAGGAAATCCATATAAAAAAGGATGCTTGAACAATAAGGAGGGTATTTAGACAAGACACAAAACCAATTCCAGGACCAAAGAAAAATTGCAAAAGACTTGGAGCTCGGTGCTTTGCTTACTGAAACTGAAGGTAAAAGTTGTTTTTTTGTAGAAGGATAAATACATGTGCTTTGTTTTGTCAAGATAGGCAAGGCAAGAATTTGTTTGAAAACTGAACTTGCTTTAAATTGGAAGGGAAAGCACAAACTAACAGTGAATTATTGGAATGGCTGTTGAAATTGGAGGCTTTTATTTCCTGGTATGTGTGGGTTAAGAGGATTTTATAATTTTTTAATATTTAACTAGATATGGTTTAGTCAGAATAACAGTAGAGTAGTTAAGGAAGTGCTCTCAGTTCCGTGTCAGAAGAGACTGTTCTTGCTTCCAGCCTGCTCTTTAAAAATTGTGAAAATGCGCAGTAGGCTGATGTCACTCATTTCTAATTAGAGCCTTGTTGTAGTCTGTGTTCGTAAGGACTGATTTTAGCATCTGCAGCTGAAGGAAGGAAACCCCTCAAATGCTACTGCATTTGAGAGGGGGGTGTGTGAGCCATATAAGGGAAATCCACTGCCACCATGCTAGGCAGAGGGCTGAATCCTGCAGCCTTTCCTCTGGGCAAACTTCCATTGAGTCTTAGCAAAAAGGTGAAAACTGTCTGTTCTGCACATCCAGCTGGAGTTCTCCCCATAAGATGGATGGTTCATTGCAGGGGCGTGGAAACCAAGCCCAAACAATATCTGCCATTTGTGATGCTCTGAACTAGAAGTGTGTTGGTCGCTGTGGGTCTGTAGCAGTAGCTGGGCTGCTTCTGTATGCTGGCCTCAGCCGGGGGATGCACGGGGTGTTCAGTGCTACTAGACAGCAGAAATAGAAACTTCTAAGCAGAAGTAGAAACTTGTACTTTTCGATGTGAAGACAATTTTGACTTGAATATGTGTTTTGTGTGAGTAAGGATTTGGTTTTTACAGTTTTTTTACAGTCTGTCAGTCACGTGTTTTATGGTAATGGGTGAGAGAAGGAATGGTCGTACTTCTCAAAAGCTTGCAAAAGCATTAAGCATTTGAATCATGTTCTTTTTCTGAGTGACAAACTGATAAATAGTTGGAATGAGGAGTTAATTGCAGCTGTATAACATCTTTTATTAAATTTCTTATTAAACTAGGCATAATAAATCACTTGCTGGGTTCCAAGTCAGTAACGCAGTGGAGGGGGAATGCATTTTCTTTTCATGTGCTTTAAAAAGCATCTTGAAAGTAAGGCATTTTGGGGGGTGCAACACCCACATATGGGATGCTGTCGCTGTATGTTGCTGTGAGGGAGCTGAAAAGGAGCTGGGTGCCACTGGCAGCCGCTGCCTCCCACTCCTGCATGAGACCATGCTGCAGTGTGGTTGGGTTTTGCTTGTTTTCTGTGTTGTGCTGTGGATGGTGGGGGCCCTGGATTCGTCACACAGTGTGTGTGCAGCAGCTGCTTTCTCAGCATCAGAGGGGAGAGGAAGCTAGTGGGCCAGCTAGAAGTGTCCCAGGGGCCTGATCTGATCAGCATACCCTGACGGCAGAGGTAATCAGTAAGGTTTACTAGTACAACATGGTCTTGGCAGGATTAAAAGGTGTTTTTTTAGGAGAGTTAGGAGGATTGTGGGTTGAGAGTTTGTGTTAAATCTCTAATAGTGGCAGGAGTTCGGGGGTAGTTGTTTTAAAAATAAATGTAACCCAGCAAATGCAGTGTGGGCTGCTGAAGTTGTAAAGCAGACTGTTATTAGCCACAGGAGGGTTAAACAGTTGAACAATATTGACCGTTTCACTCATATATGGTAATTTATGTCTTCTTATTACTGACTCAATTTCTCTGGCTAGCTGAGACTTTTCTGTTGCTGTCAATGCTGTTTGGCCATTCTGAACGTGGCCACACTTTGCTCAACAGTCAGTTGCCACCTGGGGGGCCCAGAGAACTCCTGCAAGAGCAGGGTGGGAATGAACAGCTAATGAGGAAGGCTCTAGAGAACAGAAAACTTTCTCCATTGGCAGAAAATCTATTTAAAAGACTTTCTTCCCTTTCCAGCCATGTGTCAGAAATCTCTGACGGAAGGAGACTAGATTGTGGCTTTTAATAAACTGTAGTGCTCATCACTCCCCCTCTCCTTACGCATTTGCAGGGTAAAATTAATGAAGTTAATTACATCTACTCAGAATCTTGGTTGTATAAATTGCTTAGATCTTTTAAACTAGAGGAATAATTTCTTGTGGGGTTCACAGGCTTATTTTTCAGGTTAGATTGATTACTTAGCCTTATTGTCCCCATGATGTGTGCTGCTATCTGAAACACTCGGGTGCGCCTTACAGAGTAATACAAGATGTCCAATTCAGATTAAGGACCACTGCAGTGCTCAAAGCAAAAATACTGAAATAATTATAAAAATACTATTAAAGACCAATTTCTAACAAAGGTGGAAAGGAGGGTAGATTCAGAGAGTTGAAATGTGAAGCAAAACAGAAGGGGAAGGTGCTTAGAGGGTAGAAATACATCATGTAATTAGCAAAGAAAATGTCTAACACGCTGCTTGTCTGACAGTCTTTTACTTGTTCACTTTGGTGTCATCATTTTCAACATGGAGCTTTAACTGAAAGAATTTTTAGGGATATGTTAAAAAAAAGGCAAAAGAATAACCTGTGCAATCAAAACATTTAGAAATGGTGCATTGCTGTGTATAGTGTTCAAGACAAGGACTTCAAAGAATGTTTGAAGAGATCAAATGCATATGATTGTGAGGCTTTAATTGGTAATTATATTTTAAAATTGCCAGACATGTAAGGTCGGCATTAAAGATAAACTTAAATTTAGGGCTGGGGTAAAACTTCAGCATCCAGTTTGGTTTTCACTGAATTGCACGTTGTTTTTCTTAGGAAACATTTTTGCACATTTAAAACATTTTTTTCTTTTTTTTTTGTTTGTGTTTTTTGTTTGGGGGATATTTTTAAAAATTAAAAATAAAATATTTTTTTTAATTGGAAAGACTCCTCGTGTTTCCTGTGGTGACTTAAATTTCTCTATAATACCTGCTTAGCATTGTGCCCTGGGCTTACACCTGGCCTGTGCCTCCTGTGGCACCCTATGAGCAGGACCTTCCAGGCTGTCTCTGTCCTTGTGTCTCCTGGAAGGCAGGACATGCTGTGCTTTGTGAAATGTAATTCAAGAAGACTGTTGTTTAACTGGAAAATAAGGTGATATGTATGTTACTAGAGCTTTCCTGTAACATTGCAGCAGCACTTCCAAATGGAAAACTTCAGATTTTTCAGTTGAGACTTGTGTTTTGATTTTTCCATCAATAAAATTCTATTTCTCATTTCACACAAGTTCTCATTATGCACAAAAGCAATGCTAACTGAGACTCATTTCCTAGGAGAAAAGGCAAAAGCATCACATGTGCGTTCTTGATACAAATGATTAGGCCGACAGCATATGCGATATAGTAATAAGGGGTTAAGCATGTCACGAAGGCTCACATGGTGGCCAAGAGAACGAGGAAATCATGAAGATTTTGAACATCTGTGGTATCCAGGCATTTAGTTAGGGCTTTCTGAACACGCACACACACACACACACACACACGCACACACACACACACTTGAAAAACCAGTTTAACAGCAACATGTGTGCTGCTGGAGCACAAAGTCAAGGAAGTAAGTCTGGGCGGGTGTTGGAAACCCTTCAAGGAAACAAATATTCTCATCTGATGATACTTCTCCAGGGCATCAGGGATGAGGTGTCTGGAGTTGCAGGACTGCAGGTAGCATTCCTTTTGTTAATGACTGATCCATACCAAGGGAAGTCATACTTCCATTTCAGACAACCTGTAACATTAACTGCTTTTTGTTTGGATTGGCTTGGGCTTGGTTGTTTGAGATGAGCATTCTTTGTTTTGGTTTGTGCAGTGTCCAGCATGAGTGAAATTCACTAAGAGCTGTTCAATAAGAGCAAGAGGTGTCTTGTACTTTAAAATTTCACTTTAGAAAAATACTTGCTCTAAAAGCCCCATTAAATTCACATGGAGACAAAATATTTAATGTGACAACTGGTTGAATTGTACTGATTACAGGAGTCATTAACATAGAGGGAAGTTAGCAGGTTTAGAAAGAACGGAAATTGTTTCTTTGTTAGGTGAGTTGTCATAGGAACTTGTTGTTTATCTGTTGTCTGTGTTTTGGGTAGTTACTATTTTCACCTGAACCTTAGAGAAGCTGGGTGTTTGTTATCATTTAATTGCTTTTATTATGTTCTGCCTTTTATTTTCTGTTTGTTGCTGTGAAATTGTTTCAAGTTTTCCAACTTTACAGATATACACTGTATCAGCGATTTTTAATTGTGCATATTTATGGTTTTGGTGTTTTACAAGATTCTGGAGGTTAAGCCTCTCAGCTGTCACCTTTCTCTTTTTGTTTGCTGCTGATGGAAACACCTTAGCAGCAGCAAGTAAACTGCTGGCAAAGGAATTGCAGTGCTAAGGTAAAGCTGTTTCTCATCTAAGTGCTTCTCAGTTGAGAATCGCAGTATGAGGAAAAAACTTATTCAAGGCATTATTCAATTGTAGCTTTTTTCTGATGTACTATATTTACAACTATATTTGAGCTGAGCACAGCAAAAACCTGGCCTGATTGCAAGGACTGCAAAAAAAACCCAAACAACTTGAACTTTTTTTTTTCCCTGAATAAATGGTTATTTCTTCAAGATGAAATGGGTATCTGCATTACAGAAGAAAACAATAACAGTGCTGTGTCTGTGTTCATTAAGTAGTTGGAAAAGAATGTACAATTCCAGATTTGTCATTGGATCTTCCGAGATTTCAGATCACACACTGGAGCATATTCCCGATCCTTCCAATGCTGAAGGCAATAGTGTACATTTTGATGATACTTTTATTCTTACTTTCCACTTCCAAGAATTTCGGTTTTCATAATCTACTTGTAATTAATATCAACACCAAAATGTTTATAATATGAAAGATATTTGTATTACTTCTGTGTGACTGCATGTAAATATATATATATTTAGGCAATATTGGTTTTGTAACATTGCTGACTTAACTTCTAAAATACTGTTGTTTTTTCATCTTAGGTCTGAGGGTAACTGTATTACTAACATCATCCCTCATGGTACTGGGAGCTGGCCTGAGATGTGTTCCAGTTTCAGACCTAGAAATTAGGAAGAAGTAAGTGAATTATTTTTAATATACATATTTTATGCTTTCTGCTAATGCAATTTTTGCTGCTTCTGCAAAGAAATGTTAGTACAATTTTTCTGCATCAATTTGATACACCAAATATTTATTGTGTGGATGTGGGCTTACATGCTTCTTTGCTTCTTAAATGGATTTTTCTAGTTCTTCTACATAGTATCTGAAGATCAGAAAGCTCTTTACAAACTTAATTAAGCCTCACCCCGTCCTGCATAACTAATATTAATCTGCTTTGCAAACAAGAAAGCAGAGATTTGGAGAGGTTTGGAAACTGGCCTGAGATCACACAGGGAATCACGCCACAGAAACCCAAACTATGTAATTTCTATGCAAATGTTATATAATTAGTTCATGTTTCTCATATTGGATGTATGGGATTGTGCAGTGAGACAGATGACTTTACATAAAATGGCCTTTTTCATGTAGCCTCTTCCAGTCTGTATTCCAAAGCAGCATTGTACTTTGTCTGCGGTTGAAATGAATGACTTGTATACACATGCAATGTAAGAGTTTGTGACAGAGATTCCTTCCTAAAAATCACACAATCCAAACAATTCAATTGTCCTGTCAGCATGTCCTGAACCTCAGAATCCTCAGTAAGTACAGGTGTTGCACTCAGTTTATACAGCCAGGGAATATGGATCATTACTTGTTCTCTTACCTTTCTTTTGCCTTATGCTGAAGGAGGAAGGAGTACAGGCATTGCTTCATTTTTCTGCTTCTTTAAAAACATTATTAGCAGTATCTATTCACTAGTTATCCTTGCATAATATGTAAGCAGTAAGAACTTACTTAGAAAAGGTTTTTATGTTTAGTTCCTCTCCCTGAATTCTAGTCAGCTTCTAGGCAGTCCTTGTATTATTTCAGAGTGTTCATTTTTCTCCTTAGTATTGCCTATCCCTACCCTAAAATCATTTTGGAAACCTTTAAGTTGAGAAAGAAAATGTTTGGTGTGAAGTAGAAGGCAGATGACTGGGTACTATGGGTAAAGGGTTACCAAAGGAAAGGGTTTAGAGAGAAGAATGAGAATGTAATAAATGCATTGGTTGTAAAACTAGCCCCGATCAGAAGTAAGTAGCTAGTATGTTACGAATGACTTTGTAAAACTAAGTGCAGTGCGGCAAGTCAGAGGGATGCAGTTTTGGGTCTTTGGTGCTTAGTAAGTATAAGGAAGCACCCAAGGTACTCCTGATGCCAGTTGCCCATTTCACCGTGCTGTTTAAGGACTTTGTGAGCAGGGGAGGCTGAACTAACCATATTGTGCTACCTTTCACAGTGACCCTTTCAAGGCAAAAATGTACTATTAAGGTGGCCAGGAAGAGCTGTCCTCATTGTGCCCTTATTTTACCTTTTCTCGAGATGCAAAGGGCTGCTGAACATCCACGTCATCTGTTCTGACCAGTCTTGGATTAAATATATTGTTTTTTTATTTTTTTTTAATGGGCCAGATGAGTTGAATGAAATGTGATGTCTTACATAGCTTTTCATTTAAGATTCGTGCTGCCCTAGACTTTGCTAAAGCAAGGATGGAGACAGTAACAACCCAAGAAGAAATTCCCAAATGAGATTCAAATGTGAGGTATCATCTGGGGAGTGGGAAGGAGAATTTCCACGTGTTCTGATCACCTTTAAACAAGTCTTTCCAGTTTAAGTGCAGTGAGTAGACATAGGCGAACAATGAAATAAATGCCTAAGGAGAAACATCCAAAGAAAAGAAAGGCTGTGGACTGTATAGAGTCTGATGAAATAAAATATAATACATTTTATTGAAAACTATATGGAGGGGAAAAAAAAGAGCATGAGCAGAATCCTGATGGAAAAGGTTGCTAATTTCATTTATTCATGCTGTGAAAATATGCATCATCTCCAGCTGAAATTGAGTTATTTATTTCTTAGTCTACTTAAAAAAAAAAAAAAAAATCAAGAACTGCAGCTCTACCTGAGAAAGTAGTTTGATCTTTCACACAGTTTGATTAAAAGTCTACAGAGAATTAATTACAGCTAACTGCGTGAAGCAAAAGGATGGTTTTCAGTGAATGTTTCTTGAGACATTGTAAATAATTGTACAAACCGTGTGCTGTTATACCAGGTAACCTGCATTTTTATGAGGGCTAAGGCTGAAGGTGAGTTTTTATCAGTTACTTGAAGTGTGGTACCAAATAAAGTAATATTTTTTGATTAACATTACTGCTTAATGCATTAGCAACAACTGGCTGAGCACTAAACTGTACACTTATTCTGAATGTGTATATGCGTTATTACAACAATTTGAACATTACAGAGCCAGATGTACAAGATCATACACAAGCTAATACTGGAGCATTTCAGAAGCCAGTGTAACTGGAATTTCTTTAAATGCTTTTACATGTTTTGTAGTATGTTCCTTCAGTCCCTGGGTATTCTGCAGTAATATACCAAAGGATTTCTGTGGGGCAGTTATGCTTCGTCAGAGTTAAGATATGTAAAATTGCAAGAACGTTCATGAGGTTTGTCAGGTTTAGTTTTGGGGTTTTTTTTTCCTACTTTGTAGCTGTCTCTGCTCCCTAAGCTCTTGTAATTTAACATTAAGGAAAGCTACTAAAGCCCATTGCCTATCAGAACAATCACAGACATGAGGAAATTACCGTTAAGACTGACATTTAATCCTGACTGCTTTATGCACCTTATCTTACGCAGACCTGTAATATCCAAGTGCATTCTTCAGCTCCTTTCTAGTCTGTAATTATTATTTTTGCTCTAGTGTGTAACAGCAGACTAAGACTATCTCAAGTTCTCCGAGTCATGTTTTAAACACAAACCTTAACCTCTTGTTTCAGTTCACATGATGCCTGTGTATATGCGTGACTTGTATGAGTGAAAATTGAGGTTGCGTATTTGAGTGTGTATCTTGAAGCAGCTGTTCCTTATGGTGAATTTTTGTTCTCTGCCAGTGTGTGACCTAAAACTGTGGTGGAAATCCATGCCAGAACTGCATAAATTCAGTGAAGACTGAAGCGGGAGTGCATGGTGAAAATGCAGAAGTATGGACTTGCATGTGAGATTGAGGAACCATCTTATACATGGAATAGTAATGTGCTTACCTACCTGCTTTCCTCCCTAGCCCACTAACCTATGAGGTTACTGTGTGTATCATACAGACTTTGAGGTTAAAAAGAATTTTTTTTTAGGTACCATGCACTTCTGGGTTTGTCAAATGTGCCAGATATGAGGCAATGAATTTGATTTTTAAAAGTTAAGGCTCAGATGATGAATCCTTTCTAATTTTCTTTCTAACTTTCATAGCTAATGTAAATTATATAGAACATTAAAAACGATGATATCAAATTGACCATTCCTGAACTTGTACCTTCTTGCCTTCCCTGAAGGTTATAAGAGCATCACTAACGCTTTTTGCCTGTGTTTTGTCCAGTCCTTTCCTTTTTGACTGTTATTTGGCACTGAGTGAATATTTTCATTGGACTATTTTAAAATTTCATTACTTTATCCTCAACCTTAACATTGCTAGGAAGCCATTTTTTCATAGGCAGAATCAGGATTGATTCCCCCCACACACATAACACTTCATATTTATCTCATATTCTTTGTTTATGAATAGATGTACATACATCTTAGGTATTCCATATGTTGTAAAATAATAAATCTAGGCAAAAAGCTGTATGAACTGAAACTTACAAGAAGGAAGGAAAAAAATGGTGAAATCAGCCTATAGCCATAAATTTGTGGCTTTCAAGACTGACTGTGTGATGTAAGACTTCTTAAAATGTTTCGAAAGACAGGATAATTAAAGACATGGAAGTAAAGGATGTCACATAACTTGTCATTTGTATTGAATATATCAAGCAATTTATTACAATGTGGTATGCAGTGGGCTGGTGGTGTTTGACCTTCACATTAGATTTCACAACAGTGAAGTAGTTACTGAGGGCCTTGAGTCAGGGCAGTGAGAGGGTGCTCTTTGGCAATAAATACCATTAAAACATTTGTTGGGAAGCCAGCAAAACAGTAACATTGTGAATGACAGTGCAAACAGGAGCAGTTATTTACAGAATCATTTATGGGGCACACACCAATAATTTAGATCCTGTAAAGGTTTTTGGGTTTTTTTGTTTAATAATACTACTTCTTAGGATTCTTTTTTTTTTTTTTTTTTTTTTTTTTGCATCATATGTTGATGTTATCTTTTTCCTTTATTATATTTGAAAATTCACTCTTACCATATTTTTAGTACATTTTGTTCTGTTAGATAGTTTCAACCTACATTGTATTTTATTCTTGTTAGACTTATTCTTTAATAGTTCCATGGTTTGCATTTTTCATCCCTGAAAACCTAAACAATGATCATTTTATTATTTGTCTTTTCTAATTCTAAAGCAACCGTGAATCACCATTCTCTTGCACAAAAATGCAAAGGGGCACCTCAGAAGAGGCAGTTCCAGTAAAGACAAGATATACTAGGATTCTTGTATTCCCTGGCAATACTGAACACACTTATGTGCTCAAAAAAACTACCCCAGACTGGAGCAGCTGTGAAGAAAAGGGAATAAAGTGTTCCAGGGGATGAAAAGAGCCTTTTAGGAAAGGATGGTAAAAGGCTCTGCCTCTAAGAAATAAAGACAGTGTGTGATGCAAGTTGTGTGCTCTCTAACTCATTGGGGAAGTGGAATGAAAAAAGCATTTAATCTAAAGGGTGGTACTGGGAGTAAAGAGATGAATAAACACACCTATTTGTATGCTGTAGCTCAGTGAGTGTAGGAGGAAGATGTTAACATGAAGCACTTGCCTGGTGCCGATGGCAGTTGCTGGTTTGTATTTGGCTGCAATGCTGGGAGAAAACTGAGCTGGGTTAATCCCTAGTATCAGAAAAAGAGGTAAGCAGGGAAAAAAGGTAACAGGTCATTCACAGGTAGGTTCTCATGGGGAATATTTGATTTTTATAACTGTGTAATTTAACAGTTTAGCTTGTTTTTTATTAC